CTTGTTGTTTGTCATTTCTCTGATCACAAATGTAGACATGGTTTTATGTTTACGCGGCGCGATGCAACGCAACGTGTAAAAAGACAGTATAAGTCATTATAATCAGTAATTATGTCCCCACTGGATGCAACAAATGCCTCGTTTATGAGTTTTCATGTTTTTGTCTCATCGCCCCGGCTGGACAGGGCATCACAGTATGGTAAGGGGCGTAACATTTCCGTCACACGCTTGAGGTATTCGGCCAATCACAACGCACTGGATAGCTGGCCAATCACAGCACACCTCGCTTTTCAGACCGATGAGCGTTGTAAAAATCGACGCGTTTCAGAAAGGTGGGGCATAGAGGAGAAACAATAATGTACAGTATGTGGAAAATAATGTGTTTTTTTTAACCTTAAACCGCATAAACACATTTCATTACACCAAATACACAAAATAATGTTCTTTTTAGGAGCATCATATGACCCCTTTAACCAGTCACGCTTTGATCTCGAAAGCCTGACAATCCTTTGACGTGATTGGTCAATTCTTGTAAACATGCTGCGAGCACTTAGGTGTCTTTGCAAACGCCTGAAGAAAAAACTCACCCGAGTCCACCCATGTACTGTGCAGAGGCAGCTGTTGAATGTCTGTCATTACTGAAGTGTGTTTTTATTTGATCTTCTACGACTGATCGCGGTCTTTTAGCCTGGTGTGAGAACATTAAAGTCTAGCAGTGCTCTGCTGTAAGCGCGCGTCAGTCATGGACTGCAGAGTTTTGTCGGTCCAGAGTCATGTTGTCAGAGGATATGTCGGAAACAAATCTGCATCTTTTCCTTTACAGGTAAGATTAAGTAGCTTTTGTAGTGCATTAGATGCCTGCAGCGTAATTTACAGTTTCAGCGTAGTTGTGGTGCAAAGCATAGCACATCCGACCGCTTCACAAGCTGCTTCCTGAACCCTTACCATAAAAATCATCTGCTTCCTGAACCCTTAACGTTACAGTAATAAAGGATCTGCTTCCTGAGCCTAATCCAACGTTAGTTTCCCCTCCACGATGCATGTCAGCATGTATAACATGTTTAACTTGTGTGTCACTGCCAGGTGCTGGGCTTTGAAGTCGAAACCATCAATTCTGTGCAGTTCTCCAATCATACAGGTACATACATTCTGTTATCATTAAAGCAAAAGAGCAAAAACCAAATACTAAGACTTTCTGAAATTCAGTTTTAGCTCAAATTATATGCTGGTGGTAAAATTTTTTAAACCTGTTTACTAACAGATTGTCACAATGCAGGACACTGCAGAAATGGCCTTGTTGTGTAATCAAGGCTGGGGTTCAAATCAAGTGATCAGAGTTTGTGATGAGGCATTACTAATGACTCCTCTTGGACTGGTTTCTCTGTAAAGTGTTTGTTTCAGCTAGGGTTTAAAGATTGAGAGTTAATATGGTGATTTTGAATGAATATCTCAACAGCATTGCTAAAGCATGCTTTAGTATGTTCTTGTTAATAAGAAATTCTAAGCACTTTTATCTGGGTGGGTTTATCTTGGTATTGTTTAACTCTGTGTGTGGGAAAGTTTTCATCAGGTCAAAGATCAGCTTTGATCAGCGTGTGGCAGTATTATTTTCCTTTCAGTGAAGCAAAGCTGCAAGCTCAGTATAATTTTTTTCCCCATCAGTTTGCTTGTCTGTATTCAGCACTGCAAAGCAGTGAGGCGGTTTTCTCCTTTTTATTTAGATTTAAAGTGCCCCTATTGTGCCATTTTTAAGGTTCCTAATATTGTTTTGGGTGTCCCCTTCAATAGGTTTACATGCATGCAAGGTAAAAAAACACTTTTGTTTTCTCAAAATATGCATTTGATATCACCTCATTTTCCAACGATTCTCAAACGATTCTTTCGAAGCAGTTGTAAGATTCAGTCTCTCTAAACTCCTTTCCGTGAGCTACTCTGCTCTGATTGGTCAGATGGCCCAGTCTGTTGTGATTGGTCTACCGCGTGTACAGCACGTGTCGGAAATGATACGCCTATTGCCATAGTGCCGTATTTTGAACGCTCGATAGAAAATATAAGCATCTATTATTTATCATACTTGCAGGTTGTGATTCAGTGGAGTAATCTGGTCCAAATAAACAGAAATAAAATACAGTAAACATTAATTGGGGGTGGGGGGGTTCAGGCTGATGCTTTTTCTTTGCACCCTCTTTGCAGATTTCCATCTGATCTGTGACTTTCAATGGCATTTGGTGCCACCAGGGTTGATTCTCGGAATGAACCTGCAAGCACAAGGAAAAAAAAAATTCTAATCAGTTATTACAGAATTTGCCCCACCTGTC